GCCCCATTTCGACCCACGCTATTCAACAATAATGCGACCCCACTCTGCTCATAGTGAGACTCCCGCTCCACTCAACAATAATGAGACCCTTTATTTCCTTCCTGGCAAGCGGCCCCTTAAGAAAAACACCAGGGCCCATTACCGTTTCCGGTCAAGGGCTGAGGAGTCATTCCGTCACATCGCGATGTGCCTTCTAGTTGTCATTCTGACGACACGGGGCGGGATCTCCTGGTCGATCCGGAGGTCATTAGAAGGATATATCAGATCACATTGTTCCCCTCCCTGACACAAGAGGTCTTCTGACCCACACAGTTGGCCCCGGCTCAGCACAGGAACTTTCATTGACGCAACAATAACCCTGATCGTCGCGGTTGGTCCAATAATAGTCACATGGACTCCAGTTGCAGGTTGTTCTGTGTTCTTCAGAGATATTGAGGACTCGCTGAATGCGGATTGTAGATGAAAGGAGGCCCATATTTGTACCAACATGGCTAATCCATGCTCACTGTAAGAATTCAAGATTCAGTCAAAATTGATTGCTGATAAAAGAAGCTACGTTATATGGTTTTGAACATGCGCGCTGACAAGTTAGAGCCAGAACCTCAACACCCGGCGTTGCAGTCTCCAAAGGCCGCGCGGCGTCGGCCTCGCGGCTGGCATTAAGCGATGACCAATGAGCAAACGAAAAGCATGATGCCTCTTGAGGAAGATCACTGGCGAACTAGACAAATCGGCACGTATGTTTCATGCAGAACAAAAATAATCTAAGCCCAGCCTTAATCTGAAAAGTGCGGTGGGGCAGTTAACACTGCCGTCCCCCACCTTAAAAAGTGTGATGGGCACGCCCCCTGCCTCCCTGCTCCAACACCCATGGATCTGAGGCGCATGGTAAAAACATTATGTCACCGCTTATCTGTGACGTCGGCACTGATATAGCATAGTTTGCAGTATATTTCTGTCACCTACTAAAAGCTAATGCTTCCTGGTATAAAAAATTCGAATGAGCACCAGAAACTACCTCCTATGGCAAGCCCTATGGTCATAAAACAGCTTGGTTTTGACCTTGGCCTGACCTCCGTACATGACCTTAGCTCATTGGAATTTATTAATTCAATTGTTGTGTTGTGCAGGAAATAATAATAAAGATGTAAGGCTTCGTCTAACACTCCATTGTTGCATCAGATAGTACGATTCCCTAAACATTGTCTTCGCTGGATCCACGGTCTGGCTTTGACCTGCCGTAGGTCAGTGACCGTATGAAGTGCATGATCTGCTATTCAGTTGTCTACAGCTATGCAAAATCTGGCGTGGCTACACCGCACCCTTTGGAAATTGTTTGGGAGAAGCGTTGGGTGGTCAAAATTGACCCCACCCGAGCGCGTGGTAAGGGATCTCTACACCTTAAGTCTATGCCCAAAACAAATGAGCTTGTACGCAGTTGTGTTTAGAATTAAACCAGAAACACCCCTGTATAGCTTCGTGTCACTCCGTGACGTGGTCTCGTACATAGGAGCATGCAAATGCTCAAATTTGCAAATTGCGCACGCAAAACGCATGCGAACTGAAAGCCCGGAGCAATATACCCGACATTTCGTAAATGTCTTGCCTATACCCGTACTCATACCCGTGATTTTCACAAAAGATGAACCCGATTTCACCCGTTGCCACTCCATATAGGTACCTATGGGCCTACCCAATCCACGAAGTCCCCTATGGCCGCTTTCCAGCGGTTTGCCGTCTCTGTTTCCTCCACGGTCTCAGCAGATGGCAGCACTGAGCCCCTCCTCCAGGCGCCAGGTCCGGACGAAGCAAAAGGTCCGGATGTCGCCTCCGCTCACTCCAACCTGGTCCGCCCCGCGGTCGTGACGACTCGACGCGTCCATACTATACAGTCCCTAACGTGCTCTGCTCATCCAACGTAAGTGCTGAGTTATATCCGTATGACTATGGTGTTAGATGTGAGCGTTGTCTTCGATGCTGTTCAACGTAAATATCTGGTCAAGGTCCGTCTATGAGAACCGTATATAAGACAGCTAAAGCTAGAACGTCTGGGTTGGAATGCGGAGTAATTACAGTGGTATAGCAAGATGTATTGAAACGTAAAATACTAATAATGTGGTTCAAATTAAGCTTGAGCTCGACACTCTGAACTCTGTCTTTTCATGTCTCGCTCCCCGAGTAGCCCAGCCTACGTTGCGCTCGATTTTCCTGTGAAGAAAATAATTTTTCCCCCTGAGTGCACGAGCAAAATGGCTCAATGCAGTAACCACGCAACACTGGCGCTGTTGATCTATCAGAAGCCGTCACAACCACTCCGCTGAGATTCCCCTCTTGCTGATTTTCCTCCTGACGATGTGACGAGCTGGTCCCTGGGGCTATTGCCACCCACTTGCTGTCGTTTTATCATCTTAACGTCTACGGGAACTCACTTGTTTACCGTCAGTGACATGACATTGGAGATTTGGCGCCCGGTGCGGGTGTCACCCTGGGAGTTCAACCTCCCCATGTAGAGACGCTTACGTCAAATACAAGCGGCTCCGTGCGCTGAACGCTCAGGTCCGAGTGCTTCCGATGACAGCTCGTAAGATTCGGTGACCGACTTTCCGAGAAGCATCTGCTGCCTTGAAGATCTAGTTTGCGCTGAATAACACGTCCATTAGAACGTTATAAAAAATCACTTTCCCTACCCGACACACGAAAAGTGGCAAAGATTGCGACAAAAAATGGGACAGCTGTCATGTGACTGTGACGGATTGCCCTAAGTTCTTAACATCGCTTAACACGCGCCAGTGTGGCCCGTTGAATACCCTTCGCTCTGTGGGGGGTAGGGGGGGGGGGCGGTCAATGTGACCACCTAGGACCTCAAATACTAAGCGAGCTGAAGACAAGAAATTCGCAGTGTGTTGGGTTGAACGTGACCTCACATGTGTGAAATTTGAGGGCCCTGGGTTATGATCTTCGGATGAAATAAGGTCAAACAAAGTCGTGCCCCAGATTGGTGTTCAAGGTGCTCCAGACCTTCTCATGCAACCACTGTGAACCTAGATACCTGTTTTAAGCAACAATTAACCGGTGCTCACTTAAGGTCCGATACCTTGTGTAACCTTTCAAAGGTCATGGTGACCACAATCATACAAGGCTGCTTTGATATCTGCGTTTGAACAAGCGCCAAGGATTGCCCTAGTTAATATGCTCCTTAAAAAATAACCCGGGTTATTGCAGGTCAGTGACCTACTCTCGCCTTTAGGAAGCGTATGAACTATGCATATTGTGGTTTCTATTATCAATAAATTCAAAATGAGCGACAGAAACTACCCCATACAGCAAACTCTAGAGAAAAACAGAGTGGTGTTGACCTTTGTCTGACCTTTATATCTGACCCTAGGTCAATAAACCTTCTTAATTTAATTGTTGTGTTGTCCAGTAAACTATACCAGTGATGTATGGCTTCGTCTAACACGTCGTTGTTGTGTCGGATTGAACGATTCCCTAAAAATTATCTTCGCTGAATCCATGGACTAACTTTGACGTGCCGTAAGTTAGTGACTTCACAAGGTACATCTATTTTTGCTACAGAACAATTCGTTATTCATTTGTCTACAGATATACGCAATTTGGCGCAGTCACGCTTCGCCGTTCGTAAATCATTCCGGAAAAACACTCAGTGGTCAAATTGACCTCAACACAGCTAGTGTTAATATAGTACATCGCCCCGAAATTTCAGCGACTTGCGTACATCATGCTATGAGATGCATACCACTAAAGCAAACCCTTGGGACCACCAACATAGCATGAAACTCTTTTGCGGCACACTACCGGGGTATATTCCTAGAGAGAAATAATTTAATTAAAATCAGTCAGCCTCACGCGCTGCGAGGCACCGTCTTAAGGCTACAAATGTTCAACGGGAGGGCATCGTGTCGGTGAAGACAAATGCTCAATATATGATGCAATGCAGTATTGGAAGGCCAAATCTCATCACTCGTGCAAGGAGCAACGGTGAGGAACGTTGTGCAATGATAAACAAATGTCAGGAGCTCGCGACAGCACCAGTAAATGATGCAACCAATTGCACGTGTAGCGCTGTAACGACGCTGAAACAATTTGTTTACTTCATAGTTTATCCTATTATCCGTTTCTTTTTGTCGATAGTTGCACTATTTATCTGTTGAACGGTGCTCACTAACCCGTTTTACGATTTATACATCGTTGTCCCCTCGTAGCTGGTCTAAATTATTCACGTTATCAGACAGTCAAACTGCCGTGCTTCATAAGGTGTTTCTGCTGTCTCGTTGCGTGTGCGCTAGATCTGCCTGCGGTGGAACGTTCTGGAATGTATCCCGGCGAGATGGGAGGTCACCCGCCAGCGCCTGCGGTGTATACAGACTGACATTACGTGTAGTGTCTATATGCACCACAGGGTCGGGGCGAGTGACCTCCGATCTCGCGGGGACGCAGTCCGGAACGCTCCACTGTAAACAATTCGTAAACAAAGCGTCACACAGAGCCAGATTCTTGAATGGCTTGCGTCTGAGTATCTCGCAACAGCTTGCAAGGCATGTGCTACGTATACTACAGCATATTTCACTTGCAATCTCAACTTCAAAAGTGCATGTTAGGGTGATGAAAGTGGGTCAATCACGCGGTCTCTAGCAAGCATTGTTGAAAGCTACCCGACATTCAGATCACTGCCTTCCATGCAATCATTGTGGTCCGGGAACTGAAGATGCAAGCCTCCATCCCCCGCTCAGCGACTAAACACGCTATTTGCAAGATTCCGGCAGCTGTGGATCATTCTGGAAGCTAGAGAAGCGTGTTTGTGTTAAGAGGCCTGCCGTGGAGGTGTTTTGCCAGGGAGATGAACATTGGCTACAAAAACAAACAAAAAATGCTCAAATGTTCAATATTTATAAAATAAAGAGCTATATTCAACGATAGCTCTAATTTACCGTGCTGCGCGGACTGATAACGGGAAGGGACATGTACCCGCCCCCGCTGTCTTTGTGCTAAGAAAGCTCAAACTTAAAAGAAAACACAAGTGGATTGGCTTCAACGAGATCTCGCGATTGCATTGGATCGAGATCTCGCTGCTAGGCTACAAAGCCTAGCAATGTGCTTCATCTTCAAGCCTTAGTAAAATGATTTATACTTAACGTGTTTGTGTATATTTATGATGTATAGCTATGCTATATAACAATGACAGCCCATCGCGCGTTCCACGGCATCGTCGGCTGCCGCCGGCCGCCCGCACAGGCCGTACATTGCCGTGCAGTGTTTCTCAAAAGCTGCTGCTGCTCTCAAAGCACAAAGTTAACGGCACGTTTTGGTGTAAAAGCACGTGCAATAGATACCCTATAGGCCACCGAAAATTTGGGTGTGATTGTACAACATGCCGGAGAAGGATCCTAAAAAGCTTCAGTAGATGTGGGTCGCATTGTCCCCTTTTCTCAGCGCCGGGTTAATAAATATGTACGTATGATGATACATATAATCTTACACTTCATAGCCCTACTTTGCATGCACATCGTAGCCTTTTGACAACCGATAATACAAATAAATCGCCGCGTGGCAGCCTACGCTCTACTTCGATTCACGTTACTCTTTTGATTTGTTATCGACAGCACTGGCTTTGAAAAACGGATGGCATATAAATGATTGGCGCTCAGTTAACCTTCCCTTCATGTTCCTGTCAATGGCTGTCACTGATAGGCACAAGCTGTCTGTTATGACATTGTTGTGCCCTTCGCCCGGGTGAGGGAAAAGATAAGGATGTTTTTATTGACGGTGACCGAGGGTGAATACCAGAGGCAGTGGCACCCAGGCTCTCAGAGGATGACCCGCGCTCGTTTTCGTGTGCTGTAGCTCACTGCTTAATAAATCACACAACGCAAGTAGGATTTCTGCAGCTTATACCACATATAGCGCGCATGCATACCTTATAGTTATATATATATATATATATATATATATATATATATATTTATACATATATCTCTCTCTCCCTCTCTCTCTCTCTCTCTCTCTCTCTCTCTCTCTCTCTCTCTCTCTTCTCTCTCTCTCTCTCTCTCTCTCTCTCTCTCTCTCTCTCCTCTCTCTCTCTCTCTCTCTCTCTCTCTCTGCGTGTGGGTTTGCGTGTGTGTGTGTGTGTGTGTGTGTGTGTGTGTGTGTGTGTGTGTGTGTGTGTGTGTGTGTGTGTGTGTGTGTGTGTGTGTGTGTATGTGTGTATGTGTGTGTGTGTGTGTGTGTGTGTGTGTGTGTGTGTGTGTGTGTGTGTGTGTGTGTGTGTGTGTGTGTGTGTGTGTGTGTGTGTGTGTGTGTGTGTGTGTGTGTGTGTGTGTGTGTGTGTGTGTGTGTGTGTGTGTGTGTGTGTGTGTGTGTGTGTGTGTGCTCTAATATTAACTCGCTTCGCGATCCATAGCAAAAAACAGCTGCATCATCAGGCAAAAACACGCCTACAGTGTACACCATGATAGTTTACACGCGCACATAACACAAACAAAACAGCTGTGCCGTGCTGTCGACGTCAGTGTCAAAATGTTGGGACAGTTGTCAATATAGGTACGAAACGTGTCGTGAGCTACCATGAAAATTTTAAGTAAATCAGTGACTTCACGTCCATCGGACATTGTGACAAAATGAAATACGCCATGAAATTCGTGGGTAGATCATGTATCACTGCATGTACTAATGTGGTAGTTTTATTTTGCATGTGTCTTGTTCCTGTGTCAAGTCATCAGTATGTACAATATAAGTGCATTTTGCATGACCATGGATCCGTTGTCAGTTAAAAATCGTTAGCTTAAAAGCGAGTTAACATAAGAATTGAAATATAATCAACACACACACACACACACACACACACACACACACACACACACACACACACACACACACACACACACACACACACACACACACACACACACACACACACACACACACACACACACACACACACACACACACACACCACCACACACACACACACACATAGATATATATGTAGATATAGATAGGTAGAGAGAGTGAGAGAGAGAGAGAGAGGGAGAGAGAGAGAGAGAGAGAGAGAGAGAGAGAGAGAGAGAGAGAGAGAGAGAGAGAGAGAGAGAGAGAGAGAGAGAGAGAGAGAGAGAGATATATATATATATATATATATATATATATATATATATATATATATATATATATATGTGTGTGTGTGTGTGTGTGTGTGTGTGTGTGTATAGCCATGTAGTCCTTGTGGCCATGACTGTCTTGAGCAGCGTTAGTTGGGTTATAGATTAAAACTATCCAGATCAAGCGCCATTCGCTGGATGCTGATCCACAGCCGTCGCACCCCACTGTACGTATCCCACTGTAGACGACGCATGTATACACTGCTGATCAGTGGGAGAGACTGCGACCATGGCCGGGGAGGCGCGTCCGCTGGACGCGGATTTGGCGACCGATCACAGGCACGGCCATGACCCGTACCATGTAACTATCATGCGAAGGGCCGACGAATTCCGGGATTTAATGTGCCGCAGGCGTTGAGATTGTATCGGAGGCAGGCCGTTGTTTTCTAGTGGTCTCGTCCTCAGTGGTGGAAGTAGCCAGTCGGGTTACAGACGTCATGGGCATGTTTCATGGAACGGTCAACGAAAGAAGTTTAACAAGTTTTGTCTTGGAACGTCACACAAGGTCCCGAAGATGACGAGGGTTCCAAAGAGGTCACCAGCTTACGATCCGTTGTAAAATGTGGCGGCCCGAATGGCCTGACACGGAAATACCAAAGGGCTCGAAATGGCTGAATGCTGAGTTAAGGCGACCCATCTGTCCTACAGGGGATAAGTGACCGTTGTACTAGCGAGAACCCCATCAAAACGTCACTGGTCCCGTAATCAGTGGCACCACTAATGGGGACGTGAACTGACAGGCGCCCACGGGTGTGACCTCTCCTCTGGTGGCAGCGACAATCCTAACTATTGTTGAAATATCTGGCCTATGAGGCCACTTACCCCTTAGAACATTGGCTTGGCTTCTCATGGATCATAAATTAGCCCCTCAGCACCAAACCGCGGGGATTTCCCCGTCGGAGATCATCACCAGCCTTTGAGCCAGGCATGGACCGATTGGATAGTGCTGTAAGTGAGCGATTTACGTGTATTTATTATGCTATACTGGCGCCAATGACGCCATCTGATACCGCAGACCGCAACTCTGAGCTTATCTTTTCTTGCAGTCCCCATCACTTGAATCACACGAGGTTATTTAAGTGCCATTTGTGCTTGCGCTTAAGTGCTTTTGCTATCACTGCTGGTAGTTTTGTTAGATGTTCACATGAACAACTAATGCGCACCGAGCCCTGCCAGTGCTGTGAGCATCCGCCCCCATTATCCTCTATCTCGCTTCATTCTGCATCCTCGCGACACCCCGCTTGTCCGGGGCAGGCTGCATGCGTCAGCCACGAGTAGGCCGAGAGCCCCGTGGGAAGGGGGACCCCGGCCGGGTGCCTGCCCATGCGCGGGTTAAAGCTGGGCGGCTGGCCCCCCAGGCGTATGCACGCCTGTCCCACCGTTAACCATTTTCCTTCATCCCATAGCCCTGAAGTGACCATGTCTGGTCGAAAGGGCTATAATCCAAAAAAGAGAAAAAAAAGTGCTGTGAGTGTGACCGCTAGGCTGCATGCGGGTGAGCCTATTCCATTTCCTGCGTGTTTTCGGGCTAACGATCCGCCAGTTAGCGACGAAGCCAGGACCGTAGCCGTAATTTCTGAATCGTGATGCGGGCCACGGAGAGCCGGTGGCAGCTCTGTCTTAGCGTGGCATGCTTAAAAAGATCCGCAGATGAATCACAGCCGAGCAGCTCTCATCGCACTCGGTCCTGTTTTCACATTCCTCGCCCTGGCACAACCCAGCGGCCATCCTGGCAGCGTTAGTACCGACATCTCACGAGAAGCTCGGTGTGCCGTAGCTCATGTTGTAAGTTTTCACGTGGAAGCCGGTATATAACGATGTCCGCCATGGAAGCCGGTATATAACGATGTCCGCCATGGAAGCCGGTATATAACGATGTCCGCCATGGAAGCCGGCATATAACGATGTCCGCCATGGAAGCCGGTATATAACTATGTCCGCCATGGAAGCCGGTATATAACGATGTCCACCATGGAAGCCGGCATATCACGATGTCCGCCATGGAAGCCGGTATATAACGATGTCCGCCATGCTAGCGTCATATTCATATTCGAATTGGGACATGACGTAACGCTGGTGCGGGCACTTAAGCCCCATCCCCCCTCCCCCCTGTTCACATATCGATGGCTTGCGTGTCGTGTCTCTGCTTCTCCATTTCAGCCGTTCAACCAGTCCACAGAAAGGTATAATGCTCTGGGTGCGGACGCGCTCGTGTCACCGAATCTCTGCCTGTTTCAGCCGTTCGCCATGTCCATGGAGGGGTACCTGGCGCAGGAGCCGAACTTCGCCACCCGTGTGGTGCACTGCGGCATGGCCGAGGAGGGGCACCCGCACGGCGCCATCGTCCCGCCCATCACACTCTCCTCCACTTACAAGATGAAGCCCAGTGGAGAGTGGGGAGTAAGTTCGTCGGGCTCGGTGGAGAGTGGGGATGGGGGGGGGGGGGGGTCGCCGGACCCGGTATTGGTTGGCATGGGAGAGATTATCGAGCCATCCACGGGCAGCAACTCGTAGCTAGATATTGCCAAAAGTAGACACTGCGAAATAGACACTCTGTATGGGAAGGTCGATTATGAAACAAATATTGATGAGTTTGTCTGCGGCCCAGCTTGCACTCTAGCAGTTAAGTGAGTTGCAGTTAAGTTACTTTAAGTGTTACTGCAACGAAAGCCTTCCACCTTGCGCATAGAGAAGATAAACGTGCTGTAAGGAAACGTTAACTCAAGTACATTTTTGACTCGATTTGAGCTGCTAGCAACGTCTTACCTTATCGCTTATGAACCATGGAAAGGAAGTCAAGTTGTGTAACGTGCTCTAAATTTCAGAATAATTTAATGTCGGAATTAGAATGCTACTTCCGGATCAAATGCTGCGCAAAATGCTGCTCTTTCTCTGAGCCTCGACAGTTACCGACATCTAGCTATCCCATGGGACCTGCTCATCTGGACCTGCTGCTTAGGGCTGCTGTAATTACAACAGCTATGATACCTGTTACCAGCCCTGACGAACAACCATATTACAGTTCGCACCGGGAAGGTGGGGTGTGATGCACTTCCCCAACAGTTGCATTCAACCGGCTGGAGGATAATTCGGACGCGGTCATTTGCGTAATTAGTAGCTCAGAGTGCTGACATTATCAAACCATAATATGCCTGAATGTGCTGGCTTATTGCTCCACGCGCTTGGGAGCTGGTGAATTTCACCCCTCCCCTCCTCCTCGAAGGTTTTTCTAGAATGAATTCCCAACGGCGCGGTATAGCCGCGCAAAACTTCCCATATCTATAGGCAACTAAGTAGCAAATCTTGTGGCCTAAAAATTGGGTGCACCTTGCAAGCTCGTGGTCCTCTGGCAAGTCAGAGTCAGACGGCTGCTGTCAGCGAAGGCCATTTCTGGGGTACCGCTCCACCTGATGCAGCAACGGAGCGTTAGGCAGGGCCAGATATGTCTGAGATAGTTTCTCAGGCAAGGCACCGGCAGAATTCAAAGTTACAACAACTTCCATTGACCTGGGAGCATTTGTACATAAAAAATGTTATTATTTTGTCTTGGTCGGGTGTGCAGTTTTCATGAAAGCGCATGTTTGTTTCATTTCTGAGCGGCGCCAATATGTGTAGGGTGCCCTTTCGCAAACACTCATCTCGTGCAGCGCATCTTAACAAGCTTTAAGTGTGCGCTGATGTTCTTAACGAAGCACCCAAAGCTGCTTGGAATACAATAAAGATCACCAAGGTTTCTTACCAAAAGCTTGCGTGGATTGGAAACATTTATCGCAACCTGAGGCGGGACACG